TTATTCCCGTCAAATACTTCTCAAAATAAATATACATTGTCCGAATGTGGCTTAAAATATTCAGGAGTGGACGATGTCGTGGAATGCTTTTGTTGTGGTCTTATTCTTTATAATTGGGAAAGGCTTGACGACCCGTGGATTGAACATTGCAGATTTAGTCCAAGACGTTTATATGTGTTATTAATGAAGGGTAATCAGTATGTTCAAAACATATTCATAACGTACGGGTTTTGGAAGTTAAATGTAAAGTAATAATGCGTAATCCAAGAACTGCGTTTGAAACAAATGCATCAACAAGTAATCTGGCTACATTAAATCAAAATATAATATCTTTTTTGAGATAACAGAGCTGCTATCTACAGTAGCTCTTTTTTCTTTTATTAAGTTTTATATAGTAATATTTATCTCTTTAATAGTTACTTGTACTTTTTGCATTCATAGTGATCTTAAGTTTCTACGTGAGTCGTTGCATCTCGTTTGCTTCTGTCAACTTCTATATTGCTTCAAGTTTTTCTTCCGTCGTCACACCATTCTCGCCTGAGTAAGTTATCGAGTTATCTACTATCACTCTTATAAACAGCTGTCCAACATATCAATATCCCCGCCCACCGATTTTTATCTGGTGACTTTAACGGTCGTCTACCACATTTGCGACACACCATCCTATTCAAACCTTATAGTTATTATAATTCTGTCACACCGTTGTGCAACTTGTGTTGCGTTTCAATCTGCCAAAGGGGTAATACTCCCTAAATGGGTCGTACTAACTGCGGAATCTGTACGGAACTTCTACAACGTGATCAACCCACAACATGCTGCCCCAAATGCAACAACCTTTTCCACTCTTCCTGTGTCAATGATACTTCAAATAATTCACAATGGATCTGTAACGATTGTACTTCCCTCCCCAGTCAAACAAGTACCGATGACAAGTTCAACCTCATTTTGCAAGAATTAAAATCTATCAAATCTAACCAATCCAAATCAGACGAAGCTCTAAAGGTTATCTCTTCCTCGGTTAAAGCGTTAAACGATAGAGTCTCGGGGCAAGCTAAAACTATGACGTCACTTAGTCAAGCGATGAACACCTTAAACGGAAATTTAAATACTGTAACCAGCGATGTAAAGTCGCAAGGTGCAATTATTGGAGGATTAAATACAAGAATCGCTGCAGTAGAAAAAAGCTTGTCCGAAACCGTGCATTGTCCACCACCTACTACTACTCCTCTTGCTCTGAATGACATTACTCATGAAATCCAGCTACGATCCCGTTGTGCTGTTCACATCATTATTCGTGGTGTACCTGAGTCATCTGTCAATACATCTGCCTCTTCCTCCTCAGCAGACAAAACATTTGTCAAAGAAATGTTGGATAAACTTGAGCCCAAACTGCCTGAAACGGTAATTCGCAAAGTTTTTAGGGTTGGAAAGATTATCAATGACAAACCACGACTATTAAAAGTAGAACTCACCTCTCAGAAGGAGGTGAACCATGTAGTAATATCCTTTCTACGTCTTCGCTCCAACATTCCTGACGGGTATTCCCAGGTATCTATCACCAGGGATCGCACACCCTCCCAAAGACGTTCAATTTATGAAGTACATCAGGAACTACGTGATAGACAAGAAAAGGGTGAATCCAACATCTCAATCCGTTACTTCAATGGATTACCCAAGATTGTCCCAGCCAGGACCAACATATCACACCAGTCAAAAAACTCAGAGAAGTAGCAGCCATACACATTAATAACCATAATTCATCATGTAAATTTTCTCATTTGTCTAATTTTAGCTGTTTTTTGCCTCTACCCCCCTCCAACCAATGTAATTTATGTATACATTCGTCTAGAACATACCACCAACTCCTTAAAAATGGTTTATTAAATATCCAACCCAGATACTCCCTCACTTCCAATCTAATTCACCATACTCTTGTAGACATACCTAATACTCCCAACAAAGCGCAGGTACCCATTGGTTTTTACCAAAACTGTAGGGGTCTTAGATCCAAGCTCACTATTTTTAAATGTAATGTTGCTGTATTTAATTATATTTTTATCTGTCTAACTGAAACGTGGTTATGTGAGAGTATTGGTGACAATGAACTAGGCCTGGAAAATTACGTCATATTTAGATGTGACAGAAATCCATCTACAAGTAGTCTACGTAGAGGTGGTGGTACTCTCATTGCTGTCCGTAAAGATATACGCTGCCTACGCATATCACCCTCCTCCACCAATGTTGAACACCTATTCGTTAAATTCTCTACTCAGAACATCTCATTTATTCTCTCCTCGGTTTATATTCCACCTAGCAGTACCTTAACCATATATGAATCTCATGTATCATCCGTTCAAACTATTGCTTTAGTTAATACTTACTGCACATTCTTATTTTGCGGGGATTACAACCTACCAAACATCTCATGGTCCAATGATAACTATGGTCTATTATACTCCTCTCCATCAAGTCACTGTCTTCCCGAAACCTTCTCGTATCTAAATTTCTTCCAGCTAAATAACGTGTCTAACAATCAAGGTAAACATCTTGATCTCGTCTTCTCTAACAACAAAAACATATACATCGATAAATCTTCATCTAATGTCGTGCCCTCCGATTCTTACCACCCTGCGCTTGACATCTCTCTTCCAATTTTAACAGATACTCCTTCTCTCGATAAGTCACATACCTACTTTAACTTCAGGAAAACCTCATACCCAAAAATACTTAATTTTCTAAACTCATTCAACTGGCCTGAAACCATTAACAATCTTAACGTAGATTCAGCCACAAATGCACTTTACGATGCCCTCCACTCTTCTATCCTACAATTTGTACCTAAGAACAGATACGTTAAGTCCAAGTTCCCCTCCTGGTTCTCAAAAGATCTAAAATCCATTGTTCTCGCAAAAAAGAAAGCACACGCGGTCTATAGGTCCTCCAATAAGCCACTAGATTACACTCACTTCTCTAACCTCCGTGCACAGTATAAATTTGAATCAAAACGCTGTTATAAAGCATTCCTAACACGCACCGAAAATAACTTCATAAACAATCCACGATCATTCTGGGACTTTGTTCGTAAAAATAAATCTAACAGCGATATTCCTGAAAATGTATACTTTGATGAATGCACTAGTTCTGGTTCTGTCCCCGTCTCTAATTTATTCTCATCCTATTTCAATTCCGTTTTTACTGCCCCTTCTCCTGTCTATCCAGATGACTTCCCCTTCTTATATTACGAATTGCCAAGTAATTGCAATTTTAGTGTAGCTGACGTTGAGGCTGGTCTTGCTAAATTAAAGAATGTGAATTCCACTGGGCCTGATGGTCTACCAGGTACTTTCTTATATAACCTTAAGTCTTTTCTATGTGTTCCTCTATTTCAGATATTTAGGCGTTCTTTGGACGAAGGTATATTCCCGTCGATCTGGAAAATAAGCTCAGTTACTCCCATTTTCAAGTCTGGTGACAAATCGAACGTTAGAAACTACCGACCCATCTCCATACTAAGTCATATAGCGAAATTATTTGAATCTCTAGTTTTACTTAACATACAGCCATCTCTTAATGCAATCTTAATTGATGAACAATATGGTTTTAGACCAGGGCGCTCCGCAGCTATGAACCTAACTGTCTTTAACAACTTTGTATTAGAAGCATTCGATAATAAATCCCAGGTTGATGTAATCTTTACTGATTTCGCCAAAGCCTTCGATCGAGTTGACCACAACTTCCTTTCCGAGTTTCTCTACAAATCTGGGTTTGGCGAACCTCTTCTGTCATGGTTCAAATCTTATCTGTCCGGTAGATTCCAATTTGTAAAAATCTATGGATGTAAGTCTGAGGTCCTTCCTATCACCTCGGGAGTTCCCCAAGGTGGCCATCTTTCACCCGTTCTTTTTACATTATTCATCAATGAAATAAAAAAAATCATCCCTAATTGTAATTTCCTCGCCTTTGCTGATGACATTAAAATTTTTCGCCAAATTGAATCTACGGAGGACTGTCTTGCACTGCAAGTCGAACTCAATAATCTAGTTATATGGATAAACTCTATCGGCCTCCTCTTAAATGTCAGCAAATGTCAATCAATGTCTTTTTATCGCAGCAAAAATGTCATAGTTCACAACTATACCATCAATGATACTGTGCTTGAATCTGTTACAAGTAAAAAAGACCTAGGGGTTCTTCTCACCAGTAATCTTAACTACCACCCTCATCTTCAATCGATCGGTTGCAAAGCATATAAGATGTTAGGATTTATAAGACGTGTTTCATCCGATTTTAAACTGTCCCTCTCATTAAAAACTCTCTATTGCTCTCTAGTCCGCCCCTTATTAGAATACGCTTGCGTACTATGGGATCCCTACACTGCATCTGACTCATTAATTATTGAGCGTGTTCAGAGGCTCTTCCTCTACTTTGCAGCTCGTGTCCTGAAAATCAACCACCCTATTCACGACTACACACCTGTCCTACGTGAACTATGCCTAGATACCCTAGCTGACAGAAGAGCTAATGTAAATCTTAAATTCCTTCAGCGAATTATTGATGGTACATATGATGCACCTACTCTCCTTTCCTGCATAAAATTTCGTGTACCTCAACATTCCACACGTTCCACTGCACCATTTGTCATCCCCTTTCGTACCTCCAATTATAGTCGCAATCGCCCCATGGACAGGCTAATGCGTCTGGCAAATGAGTCTACCACCTTTTCTTAGGTTAGTTCTAGTTACCAACACTGCTACAATCCTAATTATACTTTATTCTGTGAATTTTTTTTTTTTCCTAAACTAATTGTATAAAAAAAAAAAAAAAAAAAATGTTATAATGGTGTTTCAAAAATTGCTTTACCTTTGTTAAAATTGCCCTAACAGGCGTTGATTAATTAATAAATAAATAAATAAAATAAATTTATTCAATATGCTACAGGTTTAATAAATAAAACAAGAGGATTCAATTCGGTTTACGAATTTTCAACTGCAACTAACCCTATGGTACCGACCAGTTGTAAAATAATTGACGAACAATTTATGAAAAAAGTAATTAGTGCTATGTATGGTACACAAACTGATGATTGGCTATCTCCAAATTGGGCAAGCGGACCAACTCTACCATGTTCTTTTATGAATTTACCTATGCAATTTCCTGCACATTATTGTATGTTTGCAAATAACGCACAAAACAAAGGAAATATTGGATGGCAAAATATAACACAACATATTACTAAAATGGACGCCAGCACTGCCGTGGGAACAACTATAATAGATTATAGTTATAAACCAATATTGTCTTATCTAACAATGCCTTGGTTATCTGTGTATTCTGGGCGTACAGAAACTGACGGATTAAATACTGAATCGTTCAAGGTCACAGACACTAATAGTATTGCATTACCTAATAGTTTTACTATCAATAATATAGACGGTACATATAAAGCTGACGCAAGTAATAATTACGCATTATTAACAGAAGAATTTAAAAAATTATATTAATTATACAAATATAATTAATTATAATATGTATCCATTATTTTGATTTTTAAATAGATGGAAAACCAGTACATTTAACGCAAAAATTATACTCAACGAAAAAGATAAAGCGGACAATGCAATAATATTAGCATTCAATAATTTACAAGATTTGATAATGGATAATTTTATGTGTAATGATGATAAACAAATTGAATCTTATCAATAATAATACTACACATTTATTCTATTTTAATTTACATGTTGTATCACACTTAAATAAAGTTATATGTATTTGGCAATTGTGTTATATAAAAAAATGATGATATTATTATGTATAATCAAATTAATAAACAAATAGCTATGATACATTTATTATTATATTTTTGAAATAAAAAGACGAATCATTATGAAATATATAACTATTTTATTAACAGATTACAACAAATATCAAAAAATAAAAAATAAAAATAAAACAATATTAATGATTAAAGATATAATATTATGATATACAACAGAATTAAACACAATATAATAACAACATCATACAATTTTAGTAAAATAAAAATGAGTAATTAAAATGTAATAAATCAAATCATGATGATGTAATAAACTTGGTGCTTGGTACCTACTATCGTAGTACTAATAGTAGATAAGTGGCTACCAAGTTATTATAGATGCAGGTCGCAGACACTTTATTTGATGTTGAAGTCGTGGATGATGAATAAATAAAAGACAGATGTTATTTATTGTGAATTTTATTTTAACGTTCGATAATTTTCTAAGTCCAAATAATGTTGTACAGAGTGGCGTGAAGGTGCTTGCACTAGTGGATGGTAGTACATGTCTGAAAACAGGGCGATTCGGGCTCCCTTTTATATGAAGTTCCCCGTACCCCTTGCCTATAGATACTGTATCTCGGCTCACGGATGTGATCTGTGTGACCATCGTTCCAGCCCACGCATTTTATGACTTCCCAGTATTATTCTGCGCAGGGCTTAAATCCAAAAAAATAATACCGTTTACCGTTATATGGATATCAAACGTTATGACTAAATTACTGTTTAACGTTATATGATATTAAACGTTATGATCAATTTAGCGTTTAACGTTATATGATATTAAACGTTATGATCGATTTAGCGTTTAACGTTATATGATATTAAACGTTATGATCGATTTATCGTTTAACGTTATAAAGAATTTAAACGTTTATAAAATGTTCCGTTTAACGTTTAAACGTTTTAAATATTAATTATTTATAAATACATTACTAAGAAATGTAGAACCCGTTGAACGGGTTTAATACTATTTACCCAGTCCAGTCGATATAATGAAAAATTGGGGGGGTAGCTGGAAAGTATTCCGAAGTTAATGGAATTTTTACAGGTTGTCTAGGGATACTCTAGGATGACTATCCTAAGTTTTCGACCTCGAGGACCTTGTGCTAACTTAGGGGGAGGGGGTGCAAAAAGCTTAAAACTTTCAGTCTTTTTTCAGTTTTTTGCTTATATCTGGTAAAATAATCATATTTTGTGTTCCATAGAGTGATACAAAGTTGTAGACCATCAAATTTACCAAAATTTGGTTGGTAAATCAATTTATTTACAAAAAGCAAAATTAAGATAATTGCATTTGTTATGTACAATGTACATACGTAGAAATAATTTTAAATTATTAATATACACGAAAGTTTCGACCCTATAACTACATATTGATATATTATAATATAGTATTGGGTACCATAATTTCCATTATAACTTATTAGCGCTGTGCGTTGTCATTTAGAAACGGAGATAGTCAATAAATCTATTTTTAGGAACTTTTGGTGAATTAAATATTACACTTATCACGATAATGACGATTTGTCTAGCTATATTTTATTTTTAAATACTTTTATCAATACTGTTATAAAATCCGATTGGTGTATATTATATAAATAAAATAAAATAATAAAAATAATACGTGTATAATCAAATACCATTATATTGATATTTAATAAATAATATTATGATGACGACGACAACGAAGACGAAGGTCCGACAGATCCTAAGCGATCCAAGGTTATAGTGCCCTGATGCACTATATGTATTAAATATTATTTTAAATTAGATGTTGATATTGATGAGTGATTGACTAAATTAACATGGAAATGATGGTATTAAATATAGTTATAGAATCAAAACCTTCGTTTTTCAGCTGTTTTTTTTTATGTTATGAGAAACTATGTATAACTTTGATCAGCTGTATCTCAGTTAATATTTTACGAAATAAATTGTCTAACCTATCAAATTTTAGCAAATTTAGTGTTGTACAACTTTGTTATGCTTTATGGAACACAAAATATGGTTAGTTTACTAGATATAAGCAAAAAACTGAAAAAAGACTGAAAGTTTTAAGCTTTTTGCACCCCCTCCCACCTAAGTTAGCACAAGGTCCTAGAGGTCGAAAACTTAGGATAGACATCCTAGAGTACCCCTAGATAATCTGTAAAAATTCCATTAACTCCGGAATACTTTCCAGGTAAAATGTGGAAATCGACTGGACTATATATAAATATTTTCCACTTTTGTAAGAAAGCCTAAATATAATATTGATAATGCGTATTATTTCTTTGAAATATTTATGGCTATTTTAAATTTTCATAGTTCCATGTAAATGTAATTAATTTTGATTAGTACCTAAAATTAAAATCACTTTATTATTATAGTCCTATCAAGCAACAGTTCTACAAAACTAACTAAATTCTAATTATATTCTATAGATAGTTTTTAATATTTTCGTAATTTCCTTTGTTGTCTGACATATTTGTTATGATTCAATTTTTAATCGTTAATCGTTTTTTGTTGTGTTATTCGATATTAATTTTAATCGTTTATCGTTACTGTTCCGTTATCCGTTATCCATTTCAATCGTTTATCGTTACTGTTCCGTTATCCGTTATCCATTTCAATCGTTTATCGTTTACCGATATGTTATCCGTTATTCGTTTCAATCGTTTGTCGTTTACCGATATGTTATCCGTTATCGATTTCAATCGTTTTTTGAATCGTTTAACGTTATACTCATAACGTTATGAAAACGTTTTGAAGCCCTGATTCTGCGTATTGGTAAAATGCTAATCTATGTTTCAGTTGAAATAATCATTCTACTCTTTTATATTTTTATATTGAATATCGTCGTGTACAGCGTTGTAATTAAAATAATCACTCTACTATTTTATATTTTATATTTGAACATTGTCGTATACAGGGCTTCCTGAGTAATTATATTATCCAGTGAGCCTGTCTTCGTATGTTGAACAGTAGGAAATCCTATTTCCGATTCTAATATCCGATATATGCCGAATCACAGTATAGTATACTAATTATGTACCTGTGGAATTTGTTTTATTTGTTAAGTAGTAACTCGCTTACTACAATGATTATTTGGTTTTTATTGATTGATTATGTCAGGCTTTAATACAATGTCTGCAAACTTTCCATTAACACAATTGCCAAATACATATAACTTTATTTAAGTGTGATACAACATGTAAATTATTTGTTCCTAAATTTATATTATCATGTTTTCAACTTAATGATGTTTAATACAATTAAATTATAAAATAATAATAAAATATAAGCACTCTGTCGAACTCTGGCCGAAATACACTGAACTAAACAGAAAAAATGAAGTAATTCTCAATCGACTCAGAATCGGTCACACGAAACTCACACACGGACATCTTATGGCAAAGACAGATCCACCCCTATGCCCAACATGCAATACAAACTACTCCATCAAGCATATCATCATCCACTGCCCAAACTTCAACGACGCTAGAAAAGATCTCAACATCCCAGACAACCTGTACGAAGCAATTGGTCCATTTTCAAACTTTCATAACATAATTTTATTTTTAAAAAAAATTGAATTGCACAATACCATATAATTATTTAATGTAGAAACAACACCTGTAAGCTAATAACCTATGTAGTTGATGCTTAACCAATAAAAAAAAAAAAAAAAAAAAAAAAAAAAAAAAAAAAAAAAAAAAAAAATAATAAAATAACAATAATAATAAATGTATACATACATCGATTTCTTCATCATCCGAATTTTGGTTGCTTGTACTCATTGTTATTTTTTTGTTTTTTTTGTTTACCATTTATATTATTTTTGATTTTTTTTAAATTCTTCATTTTAGCATAAAGTTCCTAAATTGTGATTAATAAGATTACAATACTTCGTGATGATTGATGAAAGTAAGCTAAAAATAATAATAATGTTGTACATACATTGATTTCTTCATCATCTGAATTTTGTTCACTTGTATTGGTCATTATTTCATTCTGTTTTTTTTGTTTAATGTTTGTACTGCGTTTGATTTTTTTAAAATTCTGCATTTTACCATATTGTTCCTTAATTATAATTAATATGTTAATAATATTTAGTGATGATAATTGTACATAAATTTATAATTATTAATGATATATTAATTATTATTATAATGTTGTATACTTACATTGATTTCTTCAACATCTGAATTTTGTGCACTCATGTTGCATTCAACGATATTAGTGAACACTCTGACTGTTGCTGACTATCTTCTAACAAATAGTAGGTGGTTAACCAATATTTATATGAAGTCTAACAATGAAAACTGTGATTGACTATAATCTAAATTATCCCTCGTTATAACTATAATGCTGACTTGTATATTATGTGAATAGGCGTGAACAACGTGTTGTTTCCACCTTTTGATCTTAGTTTCCTATTACTAAGCCTTTAATGTAAGGATATTAATACATACATTATATTGATTTATATTATGACGTCCAACAATGACTACTTGTAATGTGATTGTAAACGCCGTTACCGATACTACGAATTGGGTGGTTGTCGGCAACGACTTGCGTAATGTGTTCAAAACTGTAGCGGGGAAGGGTTACTCAATATACAATTGCAACCCAGGATGTTAGGTCGGAAACACGTATAATTTGTGTAACAAATAATTATGAATAAATAGCGGGCGCCCAAAA